TATCCATGGTGAGAAATAATGCTGCCCTGTGGAGGCTTCAGCAAATTCAGGTAGGATTGTTTCAGTGCAGACCTTTAGGGTTCTGAAATGTACTGGTGGCTCCTGCATCATCCCAGTGTGATACTGGGCCCTAGTTAGAGACTAAACCCCTGATGATGGGACACAGAATGACTCTGGGCCTAGAGCTGCCCATTGTGAACTGGGTACTACTGTGATCCCATTGTATGATGTGGGAGTAATGTATTGTGTGGTGGGAGTGATACATTCGGAACTGGGCTTAAGCAGATCCGGGAGGTATGAGCATGTATTGTAAAGAGCTGTCCCAGAGTCTCATGTCACTGATCTCATGTTAGTACCTCTATCTTATGATGCTTCTCTCGCATTCTGATTAACTCATGGAGGAAGAAAACACTCAAACTCTTAAAAAGATGGGTCAGCCTGATGTGTTAGGTGGGCCTTAAGGTCAATAATGAAGACTATCCATCCAGTGGGGAGATCTGAGAAACAGTATGATTGTTAATCATTTAGAGGGAGAGATGGCCTGAGGTGTGGATATATATCAAGTTTAGCAAAGTGAATGGCTTCACGGGCCTGGAAGAAATAAGTCTAGAAGATTGGATTCAAGGAGTATGGGCAAGGATATGTAGATGGGCTTACGGGAGTGAGCACAAGTATGCCTGAGCCATGCCCATCAGAAAGCAAGTACTCTTTATGACCAGAGAACATTATCACCTGCCCATGGATTAGCCAGACTCCTTTCTTGGACACTCCAGAGTTTGTGAAATAGACCCATGAAGAAAATGGCCTTGGTGGCAGACACAGGGGTTATACATGGACCTAGAGGCGTGGCCTCCCTCTCCAAGGCTGATATAGCTACTGTCACTGCTAAATGTTAAATGCCAGAAATAGACTGGCAATGGACGCAAATATGGTACCATTCCTTGGGGGAGACCCAGCAGCTATTTGGTGGCAGGTCAATTACATTGCATCCCTTTGACCTTGGAAAGGGCAGCAGTTTATCCTGGGACATGAAACATAGTCTGAATATGTGTTTCCCTTTTCTGCTCACATTGCCACTGCTGGCACCCCCATCTGATGGCTTACAGAATGATCTGGTGTCCCACATAACATTGCTCCAACCAAAGGACAAGTGCTATGTAAAACGAGGTGCGACATGAGTTTGTAATCACTGCATGCCCCTCCACCCAAAAGCCACAGACCTGATAGAACAGTGGAATAATATTAACCATGAAAGACTCAGCTAAGGTACCAGCTTGGGTGAAAAAACTTAGGGTTGGGGTACTATCCTCCAGGATGAAGTTTATATGCTAAACCAACAGCTGGTATAGGATGTTGTGCCCACTATAGCTAAAACAACCACCTCTAGAAGAAAGGGTTAGCCCTTATAATCAATCACAGTGCCCCACTTTTGGGGATCTGTGCTTTCTTTCCCTCCAGCCTTAGACTTTGCCAGTTAGAATCCTGGTTCTTGGAGTATGGGGACAGGCGTTCTGTCAGGGGACCCATTAAGAGTCCCACTTAACTGGAAGTTGTGGTTGATTTCATGTGTGATCTGACTACCATACATTCCTAACTAAATGGACCAGCAAAGATAGTAAGAGATACTGTGCTCATCACCATGGGGAAATAGGGCTGCTGAGCAAAGAGAAATTTATCTAGAACTCAGAGGTGTTCCATGGCCAGAAGTGCATGGGAAATTGCCACAACTAAAATTCCATAACAGCAAGGAAACTAAGAGCCTAATGTCTTCAGATTAAGGTCTAGGTGACCTCACAAGGCAGCACTCCAGAAATGCCAGTGGAGTATGAGACAAATTTGAAATGAGTGGTAGAATGATGAATATCACCAGTTAAGGCCCCCAAAATCAGCTGGAGTATTGACTATTGTGCTGGGTTCGCTGCTTCTCTTTAAATCTTTGGGAAGTTGCAACTGGCCGTCATTTTGAAGGATTGTACTTGAACTTCCCTCTTGCAGAAGATGAAGAATGTTGTCTTATATGCTATCTGGATTTCATAAATGGATCGGAATTGTGCAAGAAGTTGCCTGTCCTGGGCCCCGTTTCTGTGCTTTCCTATGCCCGCTCACCCCCAACACGTCCTCAGGTTTTGACCACCTGCTCAATGGAGAGCCCCTCCTGGGCTCAGTTTATGTGCTTTTCTGTGCTGGCTTAACTGGAATGTGTCTTCAAGTTTTGACCACTTGCTCAATGGAGAACCCCAACTGGTGCCACCATTGTTACCTTATCTCCTGATGCCACCAACTTAGCAGTCTCCCTCAAGGTGAAGACCAGCCATTATCATGCACCCAGTGGCATCTGCCATGGGAATATCCAGAGTGGATTTGGCACCTATGTCTTACCAGACCCAGGAAAGTTCTGTCTCCACTGGAATATTGCCCCCGCAGTGGCTGCCTCGAGGAGACAGATTGCATAACTAGAAGTACAGAGGAGCTAAAGTCCCATCGGATGAATCTTTACCAGTGAAATAGAGTGGATGGTAAGGAACTGGCATATAAATGCATTTTCCTCCATCTAACAATCTGTTCCAAGGTGCAGAGATTCCATATGACTTCTCTGGAGTCATTCCACATGGCCACCTAACCAGCTGTGTTTTCTTGTGAAGTTCTGCCCAGCTTGATAACGAACGGCGTTATGCCTGTTTTCGCTTTTTCCCTCCAGCACTTCCCTTCTTACCTCCCTCTGACTGACCTGGGATTGCTTGATCTCAGACTCTGCCTTCCAGAGAACCTGGATGGAGATATAAAACAAGGCTCTTAGATGCTAAAGTTTTTGTTTACTGAGTGACAAATCAAAATATAATACAAACAGCCTTAGCCTTCCTGATTGAAAAGTTTACTGATTTTGATGCAGCCAACTATCTTCTCTATTTTCATGTATTAATGTAATTAATTTCTTTCATTTTCTAAAAACTTACTTTCTTACTCTGCCCTATTTTGTTTTACACCTTTTTCATTACTCTAGTTTATTATACCTTTATACTATTGTTCTTCTATATTTGAACTTTTTTTTAAAAAGATTTTTTTTTTGATGTGGACCATTTTTAAAGTCTTTATTGAATTTGTTACAATATTCCTTCTGTTTTATGCTTTGGTGTTTTGGCCGCAAGGCATGTGGAATCATAGCTCCCTGACTAGGGATCGAACCCGCACCCCCTGCATTGGAAGGCAAAGCCTTAACCACTGAACCACCAGGGAAGTCCCTGAACTTTGTTAATGCAGAGAAACCTTATGTTGTTTGTTTGTCCCTTTCAGAATGTGTATCTGTTTAATGTCCTCTCTTAGAACAAAACAGCAGTGAACGCCAGGTTTCGTCTAGTTATTCCTGTATGTAAGTTTTGACATATTGGAGGAGTGTAATGAATTTTAAACCCCAGTTTATAGATTCCTCCCGGCTTCCTTCAAGTCACTCCCTACAGAACGCTAAGATTTTCTGATCACACTTTGTCGGACTCCTCTTGGGCAGGGAGGTGTACTCCACCCCAATATTCCACACTGTAGTCAGAGGCTTCACTCTTACCGTCCCCTCCATCGCCACCTCCCTTATAATTATTATTTCTGATAGGAATTCAGAGACAACATAAATTGTAAACCCATGGTGTGTTTATTAGTGTTAAACAGTAATACCTAGTTAAGATTTCTATTATAACCATATATTGAAGGTAAATCCCAAAATCTTACATATTAAGTTGACATATCACATTTGCTCTCACCTCAGATTTGACCTAATTGCCCAGATTCTCCTAGACTTGATATCTCCAGCTTTTGGAATTATCTGTTTGTTTTGGTTGTTGTTGTTTTGTCCTGAATTTGAATACCCTACCATCTGAGTCCACACAGAGAAGTTGACTTCCCGACTCTTCAACCTTCTCTCCTACCCCCCCTTTGGTCATGAATTTCCTTTACTCCCATTGTCCATTGATTAATTACTTGCATGAATGTTGTCTGATGAAAGTTCATCTATGGAAAAGTTGAGAATGAGATTAATGTTCACAGAAATTGTGAAGACCTCAGATGGAAGATGCAGCAATACTATATTGCATTCCCGTTGAAACCAACCAAAGGCAGCTACGAGCATTTGGAAGCAAGTCACATTTTTGCACACGATCCATGATTCCTGAGTTTAACAGGATGTTAAAGATTCTGCATCTTCTGAATTTATTAGCTTGGTATTTAGCATGTTTCACAGCCAAAATAGCAAAGAAGTTTCATTACTGCTGGTTAAACTGCCTCATGAAAATGTTGTTGGTAAAAGGTTATAGAAATGAATGAAAAATCTAACCAAGAAGCATATTAAACCATTTATCATTATAATTTAGAAAGGCATTCTGATGACTTAAATTAACATGGCTAAAGGGTAGAGAATTAAAGTTAATAATTAAAACCTAGATCTTGATTAGCTCTTCTTTTGATAAAGAGGGGACAAAATATAGGCATACAGTATTTACTTAAATTGTCCTTAGGAGAAATTGAGACCAATAAAATCATACCTGATCATACTATTTATGGGCTTTAGAAAGATTACAGCTATATTATATATAAACTATATTACGTGATTAGCTTGTGTTTCCCTCACAGTCAGATAACCCTTTCCAAATTATTTCATGTGGGATAGTCAAAGCCTAGAACTTAGCTATCTCTCTATTGAGGTTTGGTGTTTTGTTTTGTTTTAACTGAATGGCCTCTATTTATATTAAGGATAATAAGTCTTTGCCATCTTTGTGAAATTTTTATCAATAAATTTAAACTTTTTTTTGCTCTTTGACATACAGGACTTTTAATGTTTGTGTGGCCTAACCTAGTCACTTCTTCCTTTGTGTTAAAATGATTTTTTTTCCAAATAAGCACAGAGCTTTCCTGAAAGGGATGGTGAATCAGTTAGTTTGGCAACCCTGATTAAGCATTTTGTGTCTGTGGGTTTAAGATCAAAATAAATATTTTCTCTTCTTTTTCATTCTTAACAGAAACCAGGAGCTAAAAGAACTTGGTGAGCTTTCTCCACACTGGGACAATCTACGAAAAAATGTCCTTACTCACTGTGATCAAATGGTGAATATGTACCAAGACATTCTGACAGAACTCAGCAAGGAAACAGGTATGAAATCAATGACTTTACATATTGAAACTGAAATGAATTTCATGTATGTTACGTGAAAACAATAATAAATACTGTTGTTATGGACATAGAAAAGTCAAGATTTAATAAGAAACAAAAAGCAGAAAACTTTTATTTCCAACTCTACCATCTTGGCATGAAAAACAAAGAAGAAAAAATTGCACTATTTTACCTCATGGTATCATTATAGGGATAACTGAGAATTTTTTAAAATTAAATTTCTGAGAAGAAAATCAACTCATACAGTATATGTTTTTCTTTTTGAAATTCTTATAACATTTTTCTATGTCAAATGTACTTTTCAACACACATACACACACACACACACACACATTTATTTACTAATGATGTTTAATTTTCTTTCTTTCCACCTAGGGTCCTCTTTCAAATCAAGCAGCAGCAAAGGAGAGAAAACATTAGAATTTGTTCCAATAAATCTACATCTGCAAAGAATGCACGTACACAGCCCTCACTTGAAAGGTAGTATATAGTATTCTTTTTCAAATGGGCAAATTATGTTAGTGTGTACTTCTTTAAAAGGCTTGACTATTGGCAGAATTAGAAATTTTAGCAGTTATATAAAGGTGAAGATGAAACAATTGAAGCTGATAATGACCCTAGACACTACAAAAGAAACCATTACTTTTTCGTTGCTGTGTTTCTGGGCAATGTTTTGTAAATATGCCACCTGAATTGAGTTACAGGTGACTATGCAAAATGAGTATTAACTTTATTAAGTATTATCAGCGATGCCCAATAGCCCCCCATTGTACTACTGTTTCAATTAGAGAAAAAGAAAAACAAGACTCGTTCATTTTGTGCCTATCCTGAGAAACCAAAGTCCAAAGATGGACTCATGTGCTGTTTCTCTGACTTAGTGGTGGCTATCACCAGAATCACCCACTTCCCTATGAGGAGCAGGTTTATCAGATAGAAGGTGCTACAGTATTCTGATGTACTTGGTTGTGAGAGACATTTTTCAAGAAAATACACATAGATTTTCATAACATACCTGAATAGTTCTAGAGTGAATGATACGGGGTTGAATTCATTGCCACTCAAGTAATTCCTTGCCATTTCTCAGTAAAATATATTTTAAATACCCTTCTCATCTCTCTTTTCTTTAAGTTATTGCTATATCAATTTTGTGCATATTTAGGGTGACCACCTGCCCCTATTTATCAGCAGAAGTCCCATACTATGCCTCTTTGTCCAGCATCTTTGTTAATGATGCCCTCCACATCCTTTCCATCTCAAAGGTCTCTCTGAATCGTAAATGCTATGGTCATCCTATGGGTACTCATTTTCCTAGGAAGCTAAAAGTTACTTTAGGTCATCAAATCCTTTATGCTGAGTCTATCAACATATACATACAAACATGCACATACAAACATACACAGATACATCTAAAGAAGCATTCTAACACCCAGTTTTGTAGCCATTGTCACAATGAGGCTACAGGTTAGAGGTCAGAGGTTTTAAAAAATTAAAATAAAATTTCTGTCTGTTTTAAAATTACCTGAAGTTTTATAATCAGAAAAATTAAATTTTTCAAGTTGGTGCATACTGATTGTATATACACAACTAGCTAACGTATAAGTTCAAGTGTAGTTAAAATCATTCTGATATATAATTGTATTATCTTTGATAACCCTTATCAACTATCTGAAATTTTAACTTGCATCCTGTTCACCAAAAATTATGTCAACTGAATTAAAAATGAGATGGATTGGCCTGAGGCTTTCAGGAATTCTTCCCTGAATACTGTCTGTTAATAGTTTGAACATAACAATATCTAATGGTTTTAAAAAATCATCAAAACCAAGGTCATAAAGAAGCTGCAACATTCAAAAGCTATCTGACAACCAGCATAACTTTTTTTTCCCTAATGTCCTATATGAAGAGACTTTTATGATACAGTAAAAAAGTTTATATATTTTGGAGTGGAACAGAATTTCAGCTTTACTACTTTATATATGACCTTAAGCCTGCGATTTAATCTTTCTAAGCACTGTCTTTTCCTTCCTGATTAAGTGAACTACACCATGTAAAACACATAGAACGAACAATAATAGTTTTTATGATAGATGTGGCATTTGCCATCACTGGAACAAAACGGATCTGTCAGTTTTATCAGGACTATTAAAACTGGAGGAAAGTAATCACTTAAGAGCCTATCAAGAGACATTGAAATCTTGAACTAAAGAAGTAGCCAGATTTAGAGAAAAGATGATTCAGAGAGGCATTGTAGAAAAATCATCACATGCAAGTACTGTGACTAATCAGGTTACAGCCATGGATGGGTAGCATTATCATCAAACCAGATAGTTTGTTGAAGCCAGACTGATAGGAATTTATATTTTAAATGTGCATTTAAATATCTGGTGATAATCCTTAAAATACATCCACCACACAAAGAGAAATTATTATCTATGTGGCCTTTTACTTTATACTTATTTCTTGAAAACAGAAGAACCATTTACATTATGCTGTTTTTCCTAAGGTAATTTCTGAAAATAGACTAGAGTGAACTGGGATGATACAAGGCAGTTAGTTTTTGTTTCTCCAATGTAAAAGGAAGAAACTGGCAACTAAAAGATATTTAGAAAAGCAAACAAAATTTCTTCTAATTAATTTAGTGGGATATGTACCAGTTTCCTAGAGCCACCATAACAAAGTATCACCAAGTGGGAGTCATAAACAACAGAAATGCAACGCTTCACAGTCTGGAGGCTAGAAGTCTAAAATCAAGGTGTTGGCAGAGGAGTGCGTCCTCTGAAACCGACAGGGGATTCCTTCTTGCTTCCTTCCATATGTAGCTTCTTACGGTATTCCTGCAGTCTTTAGTTTTCTTTGGTTTGTTGGTGCATCCCATAGATCCTCCGTCTTTGCATGTCGTTCCCCTTTATGCCTTTACACCATCTTCTCTGTGTCTGTTTCTGTGTCAAAATTTCCCCATTAAGGACATTTTGGATTAGGTCATGTTGGATTAGGACCTGCACTAATGACCTTATTGCAACTTGATTGCATCTGTAAAAACCTTATTTCCAAATAAGGTCATATTCTAAGATATCTTTCTTGAGTGGGGTCACAATTCAACCCATAATGGGATATATAAAAGAATTTCTTATTTGTGATGACAAATATCAAACAGTAAAGAGAAAAGCAATATTTTGAAGTTATAGAACTAGGGTACAACTCATCACCTAGAGGGTTTTTGACATAGTTTTCAGAAAGACTGATTCCTTTCTTTGAAGACTTAAGGAGTAAATAAAGGAAAGGACTAGAGAGTCTAACAGCCAAGAATTAATTCAAAAGTACTGAATTCTATTACATGCTGGTTTCTTTCCCCAAGGCTACTCATATGTGTGTGTGTGTATGTGTATATATATATATATATATATATATATATATATATATATGATATGCATGTCCTATGTATAATATTAAATATATGTTTTTAAAATATTTAAGTTTTTAGAAGTTTAAATGTTATTTTAAATTGAAATTCAGTTAAAGTAGGTGTTTATAGACTATATCACCAATTATGTATTATAATAGAAATTAAAATCTTGACTGAATTTGGGGGACTCTACCCCTTACTTTATTTTTTATTTTGACCAAGTTGATAACCTTTCTGAGCTTTGATTTTCTTTACTTGAAAAATAAAATGGTTAAAAGTTAGATGGTAGTCAATCTGATTTTCTACTTGCTTATATAACATATATTTAGCAGATTAAATGAATCAAGTTAAATGCATTTAAGATCCTTGGTTACTGATTTGAATGTTTAGCTGAATTACAGACAACATTTTTCCAGGTAATGATGCAAGTAAGATTGGCCAAGCCTTGGTATTTCACTGGTGAGTTATTTAGATGTAGTCTACATCTATTTTCATTCTTACCATTAGTAAATTGCATCTATCCATATTTGATTAATATGTCTCTTATATTTGGAGAGGTAGCCTTGCAAACAGGAGCAGGTAGATTCACCGAAGACAAGGCTAATGTCCAGCTCTTGAAACAAGTCACTGAGCAGAACTATGATGTCATGTCTCATACGGACAAATGAAATAACCTTCATTTAACTTCAGGTGCCCCCAGACCCATTAAGTTAATTTTTCATCTTTGTCCATTACTTAAATGCAACAAATAGAATACCCACCACAATAGAGATCTTAGCAGCAATGACAACAATAACACAAATCCCTGAAATTAAGAAGACAGTTTCCCTCTCCAGTATATTTTACTTTCATAGAAAAACAGTTGTGAATATTATACAGTATGGATTCTTGTGATATTATACTATGTTTAAGTTAGTTTGTATGTTTTATATATATATATATATATATATATATATATATATATAATAGCATATAGTACATAGAAAAGAGAGAGAAAAGGGAAGGAAGGAAGGAAGGGAGGGAGGGAGGGAAGGAGGGAGGGAGGAAGGAAAGGGAAAGAAAGAAAGAAAAAAAAAGAAAGAACCTACTATATTATATCATAAAGCTGTGGCTATAATCAAATGCAAGCTCGGCCAGGATTTACTGTTTAATATGGATGAGTCAGCTAACCTCTCTGCCCCTTAGTATTCTAATCTCTACACGGAAGGAAGGAGGAGACAAGAGGAGCTATTTAGGTCTCCCTGATTTCTGTGTCTCAAGAGTTCAGGTGTATCTCCTCATCAGTGAAGTGCAATTACCTTTTAGATGTGTTTAATCATCATGCCAACTTGCTTGGACTATTTTGAAACAGATTTCCCTTAGAATTCCCTATTGTCTTGAGATTCATGTCGAAGCCATTTTGTGGGTCATTTTAAAGTCAGGGATTATGCTTAAATTTTTCCTTGAAATGAGATCAGCATGTCTACATTTTTTTTTCATCAGCACTCTTTTTATAGTTGTGGGAATTTTAAAGAGATCTTCTGAGAAAAAATAGACTTACTATCTCACTTCTATTATTAAATGGCTTTTAAAAGGCTATGAGGCAGCCCTACTATTAGATTTCAAACCAACCTTGTATCTTTACTTTGACAAGACTCAACAATTTGAACTCCACTTTCCTCATGTGGTGTATATGATGAAATCTTCACAAAGCCAAGGAATTTTTGAAGTATAAAATATCGAAGAGAGACATATTATATTTTTTTTAAAAAAGAGAAAAAGACTTTACACTTATTTTGCTTGACTTTTCTTTAAAATAAATTGCCGACTTAGATTTTTATAATTGAGTACCAAGAATCTGAAAGTTAAGGGCTATTCATGTCACAAAGATACATAATTTAAACAGCAGGATAAAATGAGGAAATTTTAAAATGAGACAAATATCACTGATCAGATTGTTGTCTTAGAATTTTAATTTTTTATTGATTTTTTTTTTTTTTGGTATATCTGACTTCTTCTAGAGGAAAACAGTCAATTACAGTTAATTCTAACTAAATTTTAAGGAGTACGACTCCTGTAGCCAAGAATGAGTATGGTA